CCCTTTTTTGAGAACTGGGAACTCGTTGGCTAGGGCTATTCCCACCAACAATGTTCCTGTCTCTGGAGCTTAAAATAGCCCCTCTTGGCTGAGGCTCTGCATGAGCAGTGAGGCAGGCATTTGTGCAAATAAGGGCTTGTGAGAAGGGTTCCTACCCAGGAGGGAGGGGCAAACAGCATGGCAGAGGAGGCTGGGCCTCCTGGAGGGATGTGCTTGGGTCTCTCTGTGCCTGTGAGACTCTTCCTGCCTCCCTCACCTAACTGGATTCCCTTGATCAAGGTCTGGGCCTACATCCTGCAGAGCCTCCTGGCCCAGCTGAGGTTTCAGGGTGGGCACACTGAATAGAAAAGCCTTTGCATTCTCTCGATGGTTATAGCATCATCCCCACTCATTTGATAATGCTAAATTCCTACCTCGGAATGCCCCAAAAGCATTCCAGAAAGCCCAAGCTACAACTCATTTTCCTAATAGCAATTCCAATGTCTGGCCCCATGAGTTGGGCACTCACTTTGGCTAGGCATTGCACAAAGCACTTTAATGCACATTCTCATTAGATCCTTACCGTAATTTATTGAAAAATCAAGTGGTTGCTCTTTTGAGACAGGGTCTCTTGTAGCCTAGGCTGGTCTCAAATTTACTATATAGCTGAGGATGGCCTTAAAGTTCCAATTCTCACACTTTTGCCTTCTGAATTCCAGGATTAGAGGCATGAGCCACCATACCTAGTTTATGCAGTGCCAGAAATTGAGCCCTAGGCTTTGTGGCAAGCTGGGCAAGCACTCTATCTAACAAGCGAGCTACATTCCCATCCCCAAGCTATTACCTTTATTGAACAGAAGAACTAAGACTCGGATAAGGCAATTTCTTTCCCAAGGTCACATGGCTGTGATGAAGAAGATAGAACCAAGACTAAAATCCATCAACCTGTGTACTCCTAACTACGCTAGAGGATATACCTCCTCCTCTGGATCCCCACAGTTCCAGTATCTCCATCCCATGTTACAACTGGCTTGATTAAATGTCTTGCATTGTGCTTTCTGTGTGTCAGAAATGTTATAACTAAACTGACCCTGAGCTTGGGAGCTCTCAGGTCTCCAAAGGACTGGAGTTCCTGCCCCGAGCTCCTAACCTTGCCCCATCTGCCTCATTTGACACTGGAAGGTGAGGCTGAGGTGTTACAGGTCTTCTTTGATGAGCAGCCCCACTCCACTTGGGGGCAGTGTCTTTCACATGCACCACAGGAGGAGACATAGGGGTAGAATGGACTTGAGCTTTGTGTCTCCTGTGACTTTGGGGAAATGGTTAAATGGATGTTCCAAGTCTCAGCATCCCCAGCTATCAATAGAGGGTAAAGTAGGTCTGCACTCTAGGTGTGTCGGGATAGTCGCACGAAACAACATACTTGAAGGCGTTAGCCCCTGCCTGGCTCCCAGGAGGTAGGCACTAACCGATAACTTCTTATTCCTCATTACTTTCTTCCTTCCGCCCCCTTCTCCTAATCATGTGTATATGTTTATGTATATGTGCACTTGTGTGCTGGTACCTGTAGGTGGAGGCAACCAGAGGACAGCCTCAGATGCCATCCCTCAGGAGCCAGCCATCTTGGTTTTGTTTTTCCAGACAGTTACTCTGTGTAGTCCTGGCTGTCCTGGAACTCACTGTGTAGACCAGGCTGGCCTCGAACTCAGAAATCCGCCTGCCTCTGCCTCCCAGGTGCTGGGAGTAAAGGAGTGCACCACCACACCTGGCTTCCATCATGTGTTTTGAGACAGGGTCTCTCATTGGTTAAGGGCTTGCTAAGTAGGCTAGGCTGGCTGGCCAACAGGCTCTAGGAATCTGCCTGTTTCTGCCTCCCGGCTTGAGTACAGTGTATACCAGAGCTCCTGGCTTTCCTGCTTGCTATCTGGGGATTGAACCAAAGCCCCTATGTTTATATGGCAATTTACCAACTGAGATATCGCTCCAGCTCCATAGTTGCTATTTTCCAAGAATATAGTAACCAGGTTTTACATACTAAAGGCCTAGTATATAGTAGGGGCTCAAAGGGATGGGTGTATGGGGTTACCAGATAGAAACTCACAGTAACTGCCCTCCACAGGCTGGGCTGGCTATCCCTACTCTGACATGGAAGGCGTCCTTAGCATTAGTTCTCAGCAGCAGTGTTACTGGGAAGTCACTGGCTTTGTCCACCTGCTGGAAATCCTGCTTAGCCTCAGAGTCTACTCCAGGAGAAACAAATGGGCCGTGGCTGCTCTTCAGGGCTGTCTGGCTTTCTGTTGGTGCCATCTAGTGGTAAGTACGATGAGGCTTTCAGTGGGTCTGCAGTAGACCAGGGATTCCTGTATGACACCTACTGCCAGCTGTCAACCCAACCACCTTCGATGTCTTTCTTCACATGTGCTTCTAATCCTTATTCATAAAGACCCAAGGACCCCATCCTCATACATAAGGCAAGAGGAGTCTCCAAGTCCTAGTTTCTTCTCCTTCCTCTTGGGCCTGGCGCTGACCTCTGAGAGTGTCCACAGCTCCACATACCAAACATCGCTATGGAAAGATGGCCCTTCTGCGGTATGTCAAAGCCAAGGCTGGAGGAGGAGGAGGCTTCTTTCTGGTCCAAGATATCCCGGGAATGAGGAAGCTAGTGATGGTTCCTCTGTTGTCCCTGGGGCCCATTGTGAGCGATCTGAGCTCTTGGGAATGACCTAGCTCCTCAGCCCACTATAGCAAGAAGGCTTAGCTTGGGCCAAACCTGTCTGTCAGTTTAAGCATTGAGGGAAGAGAAGTAGATAGAACCAGAGAGCTAGTTCTGCTTCTGGTTCTAACACAAGTGCTGTGTGAGTCTGGGCAAGCCCTTGTGAGCCTGGGAAGGCCCACCTACTCTGAGCTTTATCCCCGGATGGGGAGTGGTAAGGACCTCTGATGCTTCCAGGTTGGGATTATATTAAAATGAAGATTCTTGCGTTTCCTATGTCAAGATCTCTGGATTAAAACACTAGACATCAACCAATACTCTTCTCTTTCCATTATGCCTTGAGACTGGGCCTCTATATCCCAGGCTACACTTGAATGTGATGTGTAAGTGAAAAGGTCCCCAAACTCCTGATCCTTTTGCCTCCATTTCCCAAGGGATGCAATCCCAGACTGTACTGCCAGGCTCTGTTATTTTGGAATCTCCATTAGCACATCCCATATCTGGGTATTGGGCAGCTGCTATTTCATCCTCAACAATCAGGAGAGAATTTGCATGCTCTAGCAAGTAAGAGGAATGGATATTTATGGGGTCCTGAAGGGAAGAGGCACCACTATATATAGATATCTTTCAATCGTCTCCCCTGTCTACGGACCCTAGTGTAGCAGCAGAAGAAAGCGAAGAACTAGCCAAGCTGCCCCCATTCACTCCTTATCCAGGTTCTTTCATTGTTTAAAGAGGGGCTGGGACAGCCAGGGCTGGGGGTGGGGGCTTGTTGCCCAAGGAGGTATTTTCAGAGTCTCCCGCCCTCCAGAGTTTCCAAGGACAAAACGGAGCCCTGTCTAGTATTTGACCAAATATGGTGGTATCTCTCGAAGAGCTTGTGCCCCAGCCAGCTCCTCAGTTATGCTGTGGAAACCTGCCCCACAGATTAATCTTGTGACATTCAGGAACCTCTCACCCTGCCCTCCTCCTCTCTCTGGTTCTTGTAAATGGCCAAGACTGGCCCTCAGCAGGACAAAGCTGAGGAACTTGCCTGCTTGCTAATCTGCCCCCAACGCCATGCCTGCCTTCCAGAGAATGTATTTGTTGCTTGACTGTTCACTCAAAGTGATCTGCCTTAGCCACAGAGGATGGTCAATTTAGCTTTTGGGGCCCTATGAACCCTGGAGTCACCTGGGCTCATGAAACTGTGACCTGCTTTAAGGAGGTTGCATGTAGCACCTCATCCAGAAGGGTGGGTTTGAGGGGTATACGGGAGAGGTATTGAGACATATAAGCCTTAATACTAAGACAGCTGTTGTTTATAAAAAAAACACAGTAATTATCACAGCATCGTTTTCTAATAAACAGTAAAGTGTTTGTTGAATGCTTACTCGGTGCCAAGCATTGCTAGCTCTGACACAGCTTATTTCTTTATTCTCTGAAATGACATCAAGAGACGTGGAAACAGACTTAGACTTTAAGTAGGTGTCAGCAGGGTCGCTGAGAGAAGAAAGGTCATAAGTAGTCAGTCATACAGGGGATGGAGATCTCTCATGGAAGGTGGCAAGTATTACTTCATGAAGGCTGTAACAGTTGGCTATGAAGTTTTTAGGCCTCTGCACTTTGGCCTGGGTGGAGTACAGACTCAGAAACATGCTCACAGAGGGCTAGAACTGTGCAGAAAATATCCCAACACAAACAGTGTGGGATGGTGTGTTGAGTTCTGGATAGGAACCAGGCCCAAAAGCCCAGCCCTGACACTGCAAATTCACTGTGGAATACTGGGAAAATCTCCTTCTTGTTCAGGTCTCAGTTTCCCTGCCTGTGACCTAGAAGGTGGGCAGCCAAGCTCACCTGAGGCTGGTTTGAGTGGCTGGGGTTGTTTCTCCGGGAGATAGTGCTCCCTGGCTCTGGGCCAACCCAGTCTCAGTACATTTTTCTCTGCTGACCAACCAGCAGCCCATCCCTCCTCCACCCTCACCCCCTTGCCATCCCCAAAGCAAACGAAGCCGATTGTCTCGACTGGCGCTGTGGGTGCTGGCTGGTCAGTCAGCCGCAGGCCACAGGCAGAGGTGCCATCAGCCAGGGTCCCCACCAGACACACAGGGCATTGTCCTTTGGTCAACAGCCCTTGGGCACCTCAGCCTGGCTCCTGGCCTGTCCCCACACCCCTCACCGCCTGCCACTGTGCTAAGGCACAGCCAGCTGGGGGCCCAAGGCTCCCAGCTGACAGTGAGCCCACCCACCCACACCCCCCAGCAGCCCCCTGTGGAGCTATAATTGCTTCAGTCCATCCTGTTGCTGCCATTCTCTCTCTACAGCATCTGGGGTTCCTGGCGGGCGGCAGCTGCAGGCCTGCCGCCTGACTTGGTGGGATGGACTGGCCGCACAGCCTGGTACGTGGTGCTCCTCTACCCCACCTCCACTTTCTCTGTAAATGTTTCTTTCCCATTGATTAATGGCGGCTTGTGTTTGGCTTGGAATCTGCAGGGACCAGCTCTGTCCTCTCCATTAGGCCCAGAGAGAAACAGAACTTGGTCTCAGCCTGCAGTCATGACCCAAGGCTGGGGCTCCAGTTCTGGACACAGCCTGGCCACACTGAACCCCTTTCAGACAGAAGCAACTGGGGAGATCCGGACAGACTCAGTCGCTAGGGTTTTTCCAGGCCTGGCTTCTGGAATCGGGGCAGAATGCATGCTCTTAAGCAAGCCCTCTTGTCTTTGTTCCCATCTGGAAATTGAGAGAGGGACTATTGAGTCTGGTTTATGCTTTCCCTGCAAGGTGAGTTGAGGCGTGTGTGGGAAGAGCTTCACTGAGAAAGTCTGGTGTGAGGGAAGTATTTTCTGCAGCAGAATGTAGGACCAAGAGGAAGAATTTAGCAACCTGATTCACTGCTGCAGTGTTTACGCCAGCAAGCGGCTCTGCCAAGAGGGGCTATGCTAGAACTTGTTTCCAAGGATCAAAGCTTGCTGGGTAGGTCCAGGGAAGGCATTGAGTCTGGTAAGACTTAGAAAAGTAACGAGGAAAATCAAACAGGAGTGGGGGAAAGGCAGGCTGTCTGTGAAGGAGGGGGAGGAGGAGGGAGAGGAGAAGGAGGAGGAAGAGGAGGAGGGGGTGAATGCACGATCTGGAAACAGAGTCTCACAGGAACCATGCGCCAGCTTCATGCGGTGCTCCTTCTTCTCGCCCACACTGTTTCAACTTCACTTCCTTTCAGCAGCTCCAAACCTCCTCTCACTCTTCCACATCTCTGGAAGAGTTTAGGCTTCCTCTGCTAACGATTCCTCCTTCTTATTCCATTGGAGAAGTCTCTAGAAAAGCTGGGTCCAGCCACCTCGTGGACCTAAGGCAAGTGTGAGCCCTAGCCTCCAGCCCCGTCCCTTCCACTTGCCATTCCTGCTACTTTCCTGTCCCACCTCACAGTTATCACAACTGAGTTTCAGGGCAGGCATGGTGGCAGAATCCATTTACTCTGCTTGTGCTCCAGGACGTCTGATGCCATGCAGATACAGACATGAGGGATAAAATTGTGTGGAAAGGAGCTCAGGGCTCTCAGGGAGTCCGTGCCTTGGGGGTAGGGCTTGGGGCAGCTAGGAGGATATCAAAGTATCACATGTCCAAGTACAATTGCAGACGTGTGAGGGGCACGTGGGTCATGACAACTCCAAGATGTCTAGAAGCGGTTGCTGAGGCAGTGAACTTGAGCCCACCGCTGGGCAAGGTGTTAGCAGGTAAATGGAAAAGGTAGAACTCTGCAGGCAGAGGTCTGTGCAAAATCCCTCCCGCAACAGCACGGGACATGCTGAGCACAGGCACAGAGGAGTCAAGGAGGGGTGCAGGAGACCCCTGAGGGCTGCAGGAAGGACGTTACGGGGAAAGAGATATTGTCAGATGTGCCTTTCAGTGGCTGTTGCTGGCCTAGGTGTGGCGAACTGACTAGAAGCCAGACAGGTTTGGGAAGGCCAGTTAGTAGGCGGTGGAGCTGTTCTGGGAAGCAACTATGATCTACAGATTGAATGACTAGAGTGCATCGGAAAATTTTCAAGAGATTCCCTATTTTAAGGACTTCAACATAGCTGTGGGGGGGTTTAGTGTTACCAGTGCCCAACACAAAACAGGTGTCCATATGGAAGGTGGACACCTCTCCTTCCTAACCTAACCCTATGCTTTGGCCCGGAGAGACTTGGCCCTGGCCTTTGACCAGTAGCCTTCTTCCCCAGCTCTTCCTTCTTGCCGTCTGCATCTTCCTGGTACCAAGCCAGCCCCGGAACACCAAAGGCAAAAGGAAGGGACAAGGGAGGCCTGGCCCCTTGGCCCCTGGTCCTCACCAGGTGCCGCTGGACCTGGTGTCTCGAGTAAAGCCCTATGCTCGAATGGAAGAGTACGAGAGGAACCTTGGAGAGATGGTGGCTCAGCTGAGGAACAGTTCTGAGCCAGCCAAGAAGAAATGTGAAGTCAACCTGCAGCTGTGGCTGTCCAACAAAAGGAGCCTGTCTCCATGGGGCTACAGGTAGGTGGGCTGGGCACAGTGGGCCACCTTCCCCACTGTCTCAGACACTGTGTTCAAGACCTTGGATTTGGATGAGTTTTAACCCCATGTCTGCCCCTTACCAACTGTAAGGCTTTTGGTCAGTGGATTAGTTTTGCTGAGCCTCAGTTTCCCCAGCTGTCAATGGAAGCAATGTCAATACGAACTTTGTAAGATGTTATAAACAGATAGCCATACACAACACTGCCTTTTTACCTTCAGGAGGTGCTTCTAAGGTACTTTGTCCAGCACTGTGGTTCATGCTTGCTGGCAAGGCTCACATCTTTCATGCCAATGGCTGCCTTCTTAATGTCTGCCTCAGAAACACGTCAGCATTTCTGAGCTCACCCGGTCAAACTCCCTAGGATGAATGCCAGGATCACAGTGTTTCTTTTGTCTCGCCTGCTTACGGTGCACAGTCCCAGCCTTGATTTGGGAATCTCTCTGCTGCTCTGGGCTGCAGAAGCAGTGTCTATGTGTCCATCATCACCTTTTAGGTCAGCATGCATGGATTAAGTGGAATAAAGAAATGGCTAGTTCACTTACAAACTCAGTCCAGAGCTCTCCCGGCTGTGCTAAGACTGTAGACTAGCACTGTTGGTCAGAATGTCCTTTAATAAAGTCTACTGTAGTAGCCATGTGACTACTGAACCATGTGGCTGATGAGACTGAAGGACTGGTATAGATTGAAATTTAAGTTGGCGTAGGTAGCTGGTGTGTTCCTGTGTTGAGGGGTGTAGCCCTGGAATGTGACAAGAGTCAGTAAGGATTCTGCAGGCCACAGCTTGTTCCTACTTGGCTGTGCCCATGTGTCAGTCAGGGAGACTGTAAAACTGTAGGCTCATTCAGGAGGTTTCCAATTCATTTCCAAGAAGCTCCCAAGCAAAGTGAGGTGACTGAGGCTGTATGTTCCCAGGTCTGATTCTCTTACCTCTCACTCCTGTTTGACTGAGGAGGAAGCTGAGACAGAGAAGAAAAGCGAATCTGGGACAACCCCCAGAAGGCTCTCTGTTCCTTTTGCTCCCCTGTGAATGCCTAAAGTCTGGGACAGAGATGCTTATAACAAGGGCTGTGTATAAAAATACAATCCCCAGAATTCACAACGTGGAAGGAGAGAGCTGACTCCCCAAAGTTGTCCTCCAGCTCCTTGCAAGTTCTCCCCCGACTCAAACAAACCAACAACAGCTTGTTGAGATGAGCCTGGTATAATTCCAACCCTGGGAAGGCTGAGGCAAGAGGATTGCAAACAGGAGGTCAGCCAGAGATGCAAAATAAAACTGGCTCGAAAATGGGAAAGAAAAAAAAAAGACAGAAACGAAAGAAACAAAAGAAGCCCAAACCAAACCACAACACTCCAAAGCTTGCTGAATCTCTGGGGCTCAGTAACACAATAGAACACAGGCCCAGATTCTCTTGCAATGAATATTCTACACCTATGTGTGCACATTTAATCTCTGGAGATTAATTCCCCAAAATATAAAAACAGGATAGAGAAGGAAGAGGGCTCACTTGTTTTTTTCCCCATAGTCCTCATGGTATTTTTCTGACTGAAAGGAGGAACCTGGTTTCACAGACCCCGACTAGCGACTGCCTTCCAGATTTGAGACTCCTCTTTGGGAAGGAGTTAATACAACACACCCTGGCCGCTAGCCCTAATTCTAACCCTAACTACGCAGACCTCTTGAGGTTGGCACGGGCAGTGTGCCCTTTGTTGTTCCTCCTTGTGCTTACCCTGCTGTCTCCCGCCCACCTGCTCTCCGCAGCATCAACCATGACCCCAGCCGTATCCCTGCAGACTTGCCTGAGGCACGGTGCCTATGTTTGGGTTGCGTGAACCCCTTCACCATGCAGGAGGACCGTAGCATGGTGAGCGTGCCAGTGTTCAGCCAGGTGCCAGTGCGCCGCCGCCTCTGTCCGCAACCTCCTCGCCCCGGGCCCTGTCGCCAGCGTGTCGTCATGGAGACCATCGCTGTGGGTTGCACCTGCATCTTCTGAGTCACCAACCCCCAACCCGGTGGCTGCTGCAACAACCTCCCGCCCCCTGCACCCACTGTGACCCTCAAGGCTGATAAACAGTAAACGTTGTTCTTTGTAAAGGAAAGCATTGGGCTTGCTCCTTCTGACTAGGATGCTAAAATTGTGTTGGGGTTGGAGATCGCTGGGACGCAGATCCAGATCAGCGTGAGTGAGCATTTTCCAGGACTCGGCTCTCCAACAGTGAACAAGACTATTAGAAAATGCTGGGCTGAGGATATAGCTCAGTTGATAAGTGTCTGCCCAGCACAAATGAAGCCCTGAATTCCATCTCTAGCCCCATATAAACCCAATGGAGGTGGCGCACATCTGTGCTCTGAAGATAGGTAGGTGAGGAAACTCAAGGCCATCCTTGACTATGAGTACAGCCTTCGATATACGTGAGTCTCTCAGGAAACAAATACTGCTCTCTCATATTTCTCATTTAAGATTGTGGTGGGCTTTCTTTGGGCTCCCAAGTCTGTGTAGCAGCTGTATAATGGAAGCCTGATTGTCTTAAGACCATATGCAACTCAACTAACCAAAAGTTACTAGGACTTTTAAGTTAGTAATTACTCTTAAGAAGAGGCTGGTTCCAGGCTCTGCAGTGACAAGCTAGGGCTCAGCCTCTCCTGGATTTTGTGGAGCTGACCCTTGTCACAGACTGGAAAGGTTGCCCGCAGTCCCAGGATTCTTTGCAGAATCCAAGGTGTGTGCGTGTGTGTGTGTGTGTGTGTGTATGTGTGTGTGTGTGTATGTGTGTGTGTGTGTGTGTGTATGCCTGGAAGAGGAACTCTGGCTTATTTAAACACTCAAGAGATGTAAGGCAAACTAGATGGATTTTTTTTTTCCAGCCACTTATCTGCAGTGCCGGATGTATGTATCCGTGATCCTCAAAATGCCAGTGTGAGTCAGCCACCTGGGAAGCTTGTTTAGCCGGATGACTGGCCCAGCACTCAGGGTACTGACTTAGGTGGGCACTTGACTGCAGTGACTTCTTTTAATTATTACATTGTGGGTCTTGGGAGTTGCTTATGCTGCTGTCTGTGACCAAACTCTGAGAACTACTGGGTCACAGCAAGACATTCTACTGACCAGCACAGGCAGTATAGAAAGAGTTATCTTAAATATCTTAAAGTCCCTACAGGTTTTTGTCCCCCCCCCCATGCTAACTCTTCCCCCTTGAAATTGAATCTTACCCCCTGGGCCTTCTAACCCCAGAGCAAATCCCCAATCAGCTGTCCTGGGCTCTAAAAATACCCTGCCCCCACCCCCTAGGACAGCTGAGGGGCTTGGGCTATTTTCCATGGGTGAGTTAGCATTTTGGAGTCACCCTCTGGGAAGGGGTCAATAGCCCCCTGCAGGAATATTTCACTTGGCTGCTTGGGCTCCTGTGCATACAGCAGCTTCAGTGTGCGATGTTTTAATTGTCTAATTCATGAAAAGCCAATGGTTAGGCTTGCGCCCGTCTGGGCTGGAAAGTAACTTACCTTTTTTGGTATTGTTGTAGAGTGTCTACTGGTTAAAATTCCCCTGGGGAGTTTTGGCCTGGTTCCAGACACATGGAAAATACACTCCACGAGCCAGCTCATGCCGATCCCTTTAGCAGCCACTTCTGCAGGGGTTGCTTGTCTCTAAGGCTCCCACAGATGCTCTCTGGGTCTCTGTGTGTCCCTAAATACAGGGTAATCAAACCCAGGTTTTATACATGCTAACTATGAACTATGCCACTGAGCCACCTATCCACAAAGTCCTGTGCTCTCTGGGTCCAAGGCTTTACAGGAAGTCACCTTGGGAGAGCACAGAAGTCCTGGGAGAGCATGGATAGGGAAGGTAGGAGGGAGCCCCTTTTCTTGGCAAGTGGGGCCATCCTGATAGAGAATGTGTCAGAATCTTGGTGATGCTTAGTATACGCTCCTTATACATGGATGGTGGCTTTCCCTATTGCTGGGTCCTCATCTGTGAAACGGGTATATCAATCTCTATTTCACTATCAAGTTATTTTACAGTGTCTACAATCCTGTGACTTAAAGCTGTAGCTGCTTCTTAAAAACAGTGTAATTTCCTTAACATTGAGAAAGAGAGAGAGAGGATGTGTGGATGAATTTATACCACAAGCAGTTTTTTTTTAGGTTTTGTTTGTTTGTTTTTTCGAGACAGGGTTTCTCTGTATAACCCTGGCTGTCCTGTGTACGTCTGTCTATTTGCTTCTGTGTGTCTTCATGGGTAGGCGGCTCATACTGGCTCTACTTCTTCCTGTGTTCCCTTTGTAGAAAGGCCCAGATCCAAAGGAATGAAGACAAGTTTCACTCCATTGTTAACAAAGTAATTTTGGGGGGTGGGTGGGTGGTGGTGCTGAGACTTGAACCAGGGGTTTCACACATGCCAAACGTATGTCCTCCACTGAGCTATGCCCATATTCAATATTAATTTTTATCTATTTATTTAATGGTCCAGGGAGCCAACACCAAGGCCTCCCAAATGCTAGGCCAGCACTCTCCCACTGAAGTACGTCTCCAGCTCCAACCTGCTGATCTTTATAGGCTATAGAAGAAGCAAAGCATAATCCTCTCTCTTAAGCTAGGACCAGAGAAAACACCAGATTAAGCTCCGAAGAACTCTGTCCCATGCTTCTTTTTGCCTGGCTAGGAGGAGGTTTTGGGGGTGAGGCAGGACCACTCTCTGAGGACCTGTCTCCTTTGCAAGACAGAACCATCACAGGACCTTTCACATCACCTGTACCCTTGCATAAAGAGGATGGCCAATACCTCCAGGGGATGTCAAAAGCATCCCTTCTCCCTAAAACCCATCTTTCCCTCAGGTCAGACTAGGCTGAATCAGGTCAGATGTGTGGAAATGCTCTCTAAGGAAGTTCTGAGCTAGAACCCACTCCAAACAGCCCATTCAAATGCTTATTTTCTGACCTTGCCTTCTGCTTTTAGCCGCTGGTTGTAAATGTTTTAATGAAAGGCTGTGCATTTTAGGAAGATGGGAATAGAAGACAGAAATGAAATAAAACTGAGTTCTCTGCTCTATACCCCTTCTCAGTCATCTTGGCTTCTAGTGAGGAAACGAAGTCAGAAGTAGATTGGAGGGTAAATTTTTATTTCTTCTTGAAAAACAGTAACAAACAAACAAACCAACAACAACAACAAAAAACAAAACAAAAAACAACACAAAACAAAAAACAACCCCCCCAAAAAAACCCAAAAACAAGCAAACAAACAACCAACCAAAAAAAACCCAACAAAAACAAAACCCAAACTCCACAAAAACAAACAAAAAAACAAAAAACCCCAAAACACTGACTTGAATTTCCTTCCCTTTTCTTAATCTCTCCTTTAAAAATAAAAACCAAAAAGGCAGCCTCTAAGAGGATCCTTAGATAAGCAGACAGTAGATCACCTGGACCCACATTGGGGAACCTGCTCAATACAGGAGGGCAGAGAAAGCCGTGCGGCCCATGAATGTGGCCTCGTCAGTCCTGTGCTGCTGGAGGACTGGAATGGGCTCCAGCTCCAGTGTGGGACAGAGTTCCTGGGCTCTCCTTGGACCCCTCACAGTTCAGTCTTGACCTTATGGATTAAGTCCTTTTGGTCAATCTTGTCCAGGTCCTGGTACCAGCGGTTATAAGCCAACAACGCCACATTCTTAGCAGCTACAGCCGTCACCTCCACGGAGCTGGCCGCCCACTCCAAGGCATTGAGGTAGAAGAGCTGCTCATGGAGTGCGAACTTGGGGAGGGTGCGGCGGGAGCCGTACACAGGGTGGGCCTGCCACTCCGCTGTCTGGACTGAGTAATAGGAACGGAAGAGGGTCTTCAGCTCCGTCCGGAAGAGGGGCTTTGGGGACTGCACTCGCCACACTGCGGCCTCCTGGGGTTGCTTCCTACGGAAGCTGGCTGAGATGTTGACAGGACAGATGTTGTCCAGAGTGCAGAAGAAGCCTGGGAAATCTGTGGTGAGTATGTTGGCGAAGGGGAAAAGCTTAGGGTCGGGGAAACCAAAGTAGGAAGAGTTGAGGTAGCCATGGACCAGGGAGACCACAGTGGGCTGGAAAGAGCCCTGAATGTCATTAATGGGTGGAGTAAAGCCTTCAAAGGTGATGTTGCTGCTGCTGTTGTCCAGGTGCAGGGGTGTGGCAATGACCACGATGTCGTAGAAGTCAGAGCTCTTACCCTTGTCAGTCTCGTATCCCACTTGGTACAGGGCTTTCCCTTCTAGCGGGAGAGAACACAAACGTTCACTTATACCCACCGACCTTCCCTTTGGGACCCAGCTCTGGGGGTACAGGGAAAGTCTGGTGTCAGGGGCAGCTGGGCTATCTCCTTTCCATATTGACGCAGCAGTTGGGCAGGCACTGATTGGGCTGTTAGAAAGCCCAAGCCCTTCCTCTGGTTCTGCTGCTGACTGGCTAAGGTAAGGATGTCACTCAAATTCTCAGTGCTCAAAGGAATAGTAGATCCATGGAAGGAAGCTTCCTAGCTCTTTCTGTAAACTATGACAGTGCCCTCTAGTGTTGGTAGGCCTTCCACTGGTTTTTCTGAAAAAATACTTCCTATAAGGACCACTAGGTTGAGGCACAGAAGAGAAAGGAGGGCTGGCTAGGAAAGGTATGGACGTAACTCCTGCTTTGTTCACTTACCTGAACTGTGCAGGGTCACAGAGGTCACTGTGGCATGGATCACGGTGGCCTTGGCGAGCTTCAGCAAACCAGAACAAACCAGCTTGTTGCCCCCTTCCACGGACCACAGGTTGCCCTGAGCCCCAGCTAGGGACATGGCTCCTAGGGAGAGAGAAGAAAGATCTTGGGCCTTCATCCCCGGGCCAAGACTCCTCCCACTCATGAGTGTGGATAACAAACATTAAATACAACGTGCTTTTAAAATTAAAAACATGGCTGGGCAGTGGTGGCACATGCCTTTAATCCTAGCACTTGGGAGGCAGAGGCAGGTGGATTTCTGAGTTCGAGGCCAGCCTGGTCTACAGAGTGAGTTCCAGTACAGCCAGGACTACAAAGAGAAACCCTGTCTCAAAAAAAAAAATAAAAAAATAAAAACATAAAGAAGGAAAGAAAGTAAGAAAGAA